AATTAAAATATAATAAGCGTTGCAGCTTATTTTAATGCCTTTTAATTTTCTGTGAAATAAAATTTAATATTTACTTAAAACAAGTAATTTTTATTTGAATTAAATAAAATGAATATTTACCTAAACAGTGAAAAAAATTATTTGATTCAAATAATTGATTACTTGACTATTATCAAATAAATATTTGTATCAAATAATTATTATTATTTGAGTCAATTAAATGATATATTTGTTTCAAATATAGAAATTATTAGTTCAAATAAAATTTATTTAATTCAAATAAAAATATTATTTGATTCAAGTAAATATTTATTTGCTAATAGTCAAGTAATCGAGTATTTGAATCAAATAAATTTTTTTTTTTTGCAGTGAATCGTATAATTTTTATTTGAATTAAATTAACTGTATATGGATTAATAATTTTTTTTATTTAAACCAATAATTTCTGTATTTGAAGCAAATACCATATTTAATTGACTTAAATATTAATTACCTATTTATTATTATTTAATTATAGGTATTTAATAATTATTTAATAATTTTAATTAATCAATTAAAAATAATAAAAAATAATAATAATAATAATTTTTTGCAACTTTAATTTTTATTATTATTTTTTATTATTATACTTTAGACAAAAGTAAAGAGGTAAAATTGGCACTTGTTTCATAAAGAAAGTAAAATTAAAAAAAAAAGTGTGAGTAATTACGAATGTTACGACCTTAATGTGTGTATATATATCTTAAAAGGAGTCTTAATTTTATGTCTTGTGTTTAGTACCTGTATAGAAGGGTATTCTTGCAAAGTCATCACACACTGAATCATTTTGAATCCTTGATGTTTTAAAAGTAGATTACAAATGTTTGCACGCGAAACTGTAATCGTTTATATATCTTTTTCATATATGTTATATGTTTCGTAATATAAATATGTATATATAAATCTGCAAATTGCAAAATTCATTATATAATTCATTAAATATATTTAAAAATAATTTTGATTTATTATATATTATATATTTAATTATATAGATTGAAAAACATTTTTTTTTAAATTTTTAAGCCAAGAAAATGGAAAGCGTAAATTCGTCTATAAAAATAATTGTTTCTAATATTTAAAATAAACACAAAAAATTAAAAGGCATTAAAATAAGCTGCAACGCTTATTATTTTAATTCAATTTTGCTTATTTTAATACCAAAATGGATTAAAATAAGTAAAATTGGATTAAAATAATAAGCGTTGCAGCTTATTTTAATGCCTTTTAATTTTTTGTGAAAATTCTAATTAATGATTTTTATAGTATGCCCCCAAAATTTTATTTGTCATAAATAAAATCGTTAATAAATAAATATTTAGCTGCGAAACAAATAATATTTTCTCTGTGATACAATAATTGTTTTTTAATTTTTTTCAATTGTCAAGAAAATGTTTGCAGATTAACGAAGATATGATATAATTGCAATGTATATAAATCCTGTATGTAACGGATATATATATATATGAAAATGAAAGAAAATTGTATATATACCATAAATGTTGTATATATCGTATTTTATGACTCGTTATTTATGGTAGCATATTTTATATGAAGTGTAAAGGGAAACTCGTTTTCTAATGGAAACTGTAAATAAGTGATAATACGAGAAAATGTGAAGGTATAACCAAGAAACCAGGTAGCAATCTTTTTCAGGAAGAGTGTGTGTAGTATGGATATATAATATTGAAATTCTTGGAAAAGGTGTCTGTTTATATTGTCCATAAAAATACATATTTGCAAAAGAGGAAGATGAAGTCTTTTATAACTTTGCCCGGAAATCATTATATATATATACTAATTCTTACTTTCTATATAAATTTTTTCTTTTTAATATTGAGCTCATTATTATAAACCTAAAGTGCCCAATATATAATAAAATACAGGATATTAAGTTTTACTATAATAATAGACGAAATTTTAATAATTTACTTGATCCAATTAATTTTTATTTGAATTAAATAAAATTTCATTAAAATAAATAATTATTTACTTAAACCGAGTAATTTTTATTTGAATTAAATTAACTCTATGTGGATCAATAATTTTTTTTTTTATTTGGACCAATAATTTCTGTATTTGAAACAAATATCATTTAATTGATTTAAATTATATAATTCTAATTAATGGCGCTTTTTAGAACTAGAATAAAATTTTATTTGCAAAAAATTAATTAATCAATTAATAATAATAAAATGAAATAAAACTAATAAAATATTTAATACAAATAAATATTTATTTTTAATAATAATCAAGTAATCGATTATTTAAATCAAATAATTTTTTTTTCTGCCTAATTATGCAAAAAATATTGATACTTCCATTTTTTCTTTTCCTATAGTTCAAAATTTATATATATATAGTTTCCAACTTTTACTCATTTTCCGATTAAGTGAGAGGCTTTCGATCAAATTCCAGCGGAAGTTTCTATAAATTTATAAGGGGAGAAAAGACCAGAGAAAGCTCGAGAGGAGAAAATAAATTCAAAACTTTTATAGAAAATAAAAAACATTTCGTGAATTTATTTGAAATACACAAACCAAATTTTAATTAAAAATTTTTTTTACTCTAAAAAGTAAAAAAAAAAAAGAGAGAAAATGATTAAAAATTGAAAGTCAGATTTTAATTTGATATGATCAATTTTCTATCTTATAATCATGGTACAGGCACACTCCATTTAAATCACAGAGATGAATATTTCATATATATAGACTATAATATTGAAGAGAGAAAAAAAAATCTGCATACCACAATCGAGACATAAAGTAGAAATGGGATTAGCTTCTAATTATATAGTAAAGTTAAGTTGAATTAATGACCGAGCACTTGAGGATAAACTACTTGCATATCATCTCACATTAATTATAAAGTTGCCGATTATTTACTGATGCTTGATATAAATAAAAAAAAAATGGAAAATCAGAAAGTTTGACGAATAAAAAAATTATTTTAACAAAAATTTTGAATTTTTTTCAAATGAAAAAATATGACTTTATTTGGCGCAGCATCTCTGTTGCATAATTGATTAAATACATATGCGTAAGAGTATAAAGAAGAAGTAGGTAAAAGACATTGTTGAATGTTTTCTGGTGAAGTTGTACAGTTAAGGGGCCAGTTCAAGTGGCTTTCGTCTCGTGCCAGTCGGTCCAGTTTGCAATCGGAGGATGCGAATGCATCTCAGATTGCCAACCGAACAAGGTACAACAAGATGCAACCACTCATGGTGTATACATTGGTTACGCCCATCTTACATTAATTTTACCGTTATATTATTTATACTGATGATATTTTACTTATACATCTGCTTAGACTATGAAGGAACTTCTGTCGCATTATTTTGATATAACAAGTGTCTTATTCAACAAAAAGATTCAATCTCATTTCATGAGGAAAATTTCCTTTTATATATCAATTTATTCTCGAAAAAAAAGAAAAAATGCAAATCCAAATAATTGGTTACTAAAAAAAATTAATTATTAATTATTAATAATTCAAATAATTAATAATTATTATTATTATTTAAGTCAATTAAATGATATTTGTATAATATACAAAAATTATTGATTCAAATACAATTTATTTAATTTTAAATAAAAATTATTTGTTTCAAGTAAATATTTATTTAATAATAGTCCAGTAACTGATTTATTTGAATCAGATAAATTTAATAAATTTATTTATTTATTAAATTTAATATTTAAATAAATATTTTACGCATATATGAAATAAATTAAATTAAATTAAAATTTAATTTTTGTATTAAAAAATATTTTCCTCTTCAATTAAGAGTTTTCGTTAAAAAAAAAAAACTGCAAGATAATTTTGAGGAAATGACTAAAAAATTATTAATATAAAAGCAAATATTTTAAATTTAAAACGTGAAATTTAATTTTTGTTTCCGTATTTAAAAAAAATTCTCATTTATTGCCAAACAAAGAAAAGAATAAAAATGTCCTTAAAATAAGAAAAATAAGTGTTTTAATTTCTACAATTAAATAATGAAGCAATATGACATTTTACGGTCTTGAAACTAATAAAAAAAAAAAAAAATTACAGACAAAAAATAAAATGTCTGTGTATAAAAACTTAAACTGATATGCATCAGTTGTTATATACTTGATATCTAAACTCTATTTTAGCCTTCAAAAAAATTTATATTATTTCTTTTATTTCAATTACAACCTTGAATTCTCCTTTATTAAATTTTTTTTTACAAAAAAAAAACATAATTTTATTATTTAATTTTTATCGTATTTAAATTTATTTAACTAAATATTTTAAAAATTTATTCTTTTACCTTCAATTTAATTTTTCTTTTAACGTTTATTTTGAATAAATAAATATTGAATCATAATATTATTATTAAATTATTATTATTAATATTATTATTATATTTATAATATTTAATTAAATATTTTTAAAATTTAATATTATATTATTTTATATTATATTTATTTATTATTATATTTTTACGATAAAATATTTTATTCGAACTTTCGCTTTCTTTTTATAGCAATTTACTTTTGTCAATTTTATGAACAATAAACTTCTTTTTACAATCTAATAAAAAACGATTCCTTAACTTCCATAATCTTCCTTTTTTTAAACCATTATATTAGAACTTAATTTTTTAATACATATTTTTAATAAAAATATATACTTTCTTATTTTATAATTAATAAATTATTTGAATAATTTATCGAAGTCAATTCAAATAATTATTATTAATTAATAAATAATATTTCTCTTTAAATTCATTAAATTATTCAATAATTATTTAATTATTAATAATTAAATTATTATTGAATAATAATTTTCAATTCTAATTTGATTCAACAAATTTTTAAATAATAAAATTTTAAAACTAAATATTTGAAAAAAGGGTAGTTTTACCGCGCGCACATTGCAATGTTGGCTAACCTGTGAGAAATATCAGTGAAAGGTTGGTAGTAATTGCTGACGTAGTCGGGATTGTTGTATGTAGTTGACGGCTTGTGTTGAAGCGACGAAAATGGCCTCCGCAGAACAGGTTGGTCTAAATAAAACTTGGGAATTATCGCTTTATGAGCTTCATCGGACACCTCAGGATGCAATTACGGATAACACAGAGATTGCAGTTAGTCCGCGAAGTTTGCACAGTGAACTTATGTGTCCAATATGTCTAGATATGCTCAAAAAAACAATGACGACAAAGGAGTGTCTACATCGTTTTTGCTCCGATTGTATTATCACTGCACTTCGAAGCGGTAACAAGGTATTTATTATGAAATTACAATTATTATTCTAAAAAAGAATTGACATTATAATTCTTATAATTTTATTATTTTATTTTTCAAAAAATTTCATCAATTTTCAATGTTTATTCACAAGATTTAAACTGACAAAATTTGTTGTTTACTATCATAGTTTACATTATTTCACATTCTACAAATGTCAAAAATTATGCATTTTTAAAAAAAAATTATTCTATAAATATATAAATATATATATGTTTTTATATTGTTAATTATTTGTAAATAAAACAAATGAGGTTATGTTTGTTTTGACAAAAAATTGATATTAAATTTTTATTGATTTCTTATAAAAATTATTAACCGTTTATTGTAATATATTTAATTGCTTTTATTAATTTTTTGTTATAAATTTAAAAATAAAAAAAGATTTTTGTATATTAACCTTAAAAAATGTTCTGACATAACCTTTTTCTAGAAAATTTTTCTGTAATTAATTTTATGTATTTTAATAAATTATAAGAATTATAATAATATGAATTTAATTAAATTAAACAAATTAAAAGAAACTAGTTTTTTCTAATATTAATAATTTTCTTCTTTAATTTTTAGGAATGTCCAACATGTCGAAAGAAACTTGTATCAAAACGTTCCCTAAGGCCAGATCCAAATTTTGATTTACTAATTTCAAAAATTTATCCAAGTAGAGATGAGTATGAGGCACATCAAGAACGTGTTTTGGCAAAACTCAATAAATCACATTCACAAGCAGCACTTGTTAATTCAATAACTGAAGGTATAAAACTACAAAGTCAAAATAGGCCGCAACGTTCGCGAAAAAATATTAACGAATCGGAAAATACAAGTGGTACAGCATCGTACAATAATACGCCAAATGTCAGTGCACCAACAACACCTAATCCAGCAGTAACCGCAGCGAATCAAAGTGATTCGTCGCAAAGTGCAACTGGACCAGCAAATACGAACAATTCAAATTCAAATAGTGCATCACAACCCGCCAGTAGCCCTGCAGTTTCAGGTATTAAATTTTCATTTCGAAAATTGTTGAAAAAATTTCAAATTAAATGTTTTTGAATGCGATTTTACATTTTGGAGTAAAAGAATTTGAATAGGATTAATTTTTGAAAGAAGTAAATATCTTCGAAAGTATTTAATTTTTAAAAAAAAATTCAGTCAGCTAATTTTTTTTTTTATTGAAAAAATTGTAATCTAAATTGTTTTTGGAAATTTTTTAAACGTACTATTTAAAAAAATCAATATTTTAGGATCCACTTCGAGGAATTCGACTACTCCATCACCAAATCCAGCTAATCAAATACCAAAGCCAGCGAAACGTCAAAAAAGTCTACAGAATTCAGAAAATGATTCTTCGAGTGCAGAAGCGGAAACTGGAGGAGGTGATTCAATGGTTGATACAGAAGGAGAAGGGCCAAGTGAGCCTTTAATGCTCAATGAAATTGAACTTGTTTTTAAACCACATCCTACGGAAATGGCGGGAGATAATTCGTTAATAAAAGCTTTAAAGGAGAATAGTATTCGGTATATCAAGACAACTGCAAATGCCACTGGTACGAATATAAATTCACAATTGTTTTGTTTTTTATTTTTTAAAATTGTTTTTGTTCTAAATTAAATTTTCTTTTCTATTTTTGAAATATTTTTTAACTTTTTGTTTTCTAAAATTTACAAATTAAAAATTTGATTAATTTTTTTTTTTCAGTGGACCATCTCAGCAAATATTTGGCAATGCGATTAACATTGGATCTAGACACGGAATTATCAGAATCGGATAGGCTTTTGAATTTCTGCATATACATTGCCCCATCACCTGGACAACTTGTTGTTTTAAGTGGCTCACAGACGTTGCGGCAAGTGAATGATAAATTTTGGCGAGTAAATCGACCATTAGAAATGTATTATTCGTGGAAAAAAACCTAGGGAAGGGCTCGCAAGCCTCATTCAAATGGGAGCTAGTCAAATTTACAGCTCCAACATTTAAAAAATAAAAAAAAAACAGATCGATGTAAAGAGCTTAATACAATAGATACTAATCAAATAGTATTTACTGGAAAAAAAAAATATCAAAATTTCTCCCGGAAGAAATCAAGGAAAGAAATGACGACGTCAATGTAACGTAGAAAAAAGATTACGTTTCAAAATACTAGTGGTAAAATTTGTGTTTTTTTTTTTTTTTTAAATTTTTTTTTGTGAGATTTAATTTTTTTTCTGACGGATTTAAATTGTAAAATATAATTTTTATTTCCTTCAGTTTTTTTAAGGAGAACTTGGAAGGAAATTGTATGTTTCTACCGGTGTTGGATACCGTTTTTGTAAATAGCAAAATCTGTGAACGTGTACCTAAAAAAAAAAAAAAAAAAAAAAAATGTAAGCATCGAGGATGAAATTTATTATTTTTGAGGAAGCAAATGACAAGGCTGGCTTCGTATTTGATATATATAAATATATAATTGACTGATATTCATCGGGAATGCTTTACGCACGGGAACACAAAGAATGAAAAGCTCACGAATATTAATCGTGTTGCAGAATTTTATATTTATGTGTAGTCGGAAAAATAAATACGGTGTTTTCACTTGAGAATTTTGAATTTTAATTAAATTCACTTTTTATATTTAAATATTTTAAGTTATTTTATATTTTAAATTAAAAATATTTTTATCTTTTAAAAAGAAGTTAAAATAATTGAAAGTAGACAAAGGATATAAAAGTTTTTTTTGTAAATATTATGAAATTTTAATAATTCAAAGAGAAAACTATATAGGGATGAAGTGGGAATTGAAAATCCGATTGACAACTTCGTTAAAAATGTATGAAAAGCATATTCCTCTCGGCGACAAGTGGAAGGATAAATCGATAATCGGCTAATGCGCACTCGTCGCACTCTCTCGTATCCAACGAATTGGCAATATCCCTTTGTTCCTATTTTTTACGCTTATCGACTTATGAACCGATGCTAATTAATTTTTTTTTCCAATGACAAACCGATTTCTATTCCAAAGATCTATTTACACAACTATTAATCATCTTTAACTTCGAGAAAAATTTGCATTTTTCAAATTTTATATTTCCCTTTTGCATTTATATCTGAAATTTTTAATTTACTCCAAATATCGTTTGACCTAATTATTTTTTTTTTAACTTTTGTAAAGTAAATTTTTATTTTTTGTGAAAAATTGAGTGAATTATAATTCTTTTCATTTGCATAAAAAATGAGACAAAATATACAACGATCGTATATTTTTTTTTTCAAAAATAATTATGCAATGTATTTTTGAGGACGAAAATTATTCACCAGTTCAGTTCAGAGAATCAAACTAATTATAAAGCCTAACGACACATCCAAGTAACGACAGAGAGTCGTCGTTCTCGGTCTTAATTAAAGCTTTTGTATTAGTGTAGCAAAAGTTATTCGATTCCTCTCCTCTCAGAATATTTCCTTGACAATCACTCCCGACAATATTTACTCCGTTTTCCATTTTAACCCCATCGTGGGTCAATTTCATTGCATCTGGATTAAATTACTCCTTCAATAAATTCTCAATCGTTTCAATCTGTCACGTGGGATTATAAATTGAAGAAAAATCACCCCTTTTTGCCCAGTGAATAATGAAGGGGAAAAAAAAAGAATTTTTTTTTTTTAAAGAAAACGCAAAAGTTTTTTTTCATGGTGATAAAAAAAAAAAAAAAAAATTTGTGTGGGTGAAGAAAAAAGATTTTTCATGTTTACAAGAAGGTGAATGTCAATTCAAGACTCTTCTTGGTATGGAGTGTATTAACTGACAAGCGGGCGAGGCAGATCTGATCGCTAAATGGAACGATAGGATCACCCAGCCGGACGAGATCAACAAAACAATTACCGCACGACTGCAGATTTATCGCGGATCGTCAATGTGTGTGTCTACCTGAACATTGACACCTTCAGATTATATGTATATATATCCTCGCATTGGTATAGAATCAAAAGACAAATGCAACTTTGCAACGCTGAATCATCGTCAATGTCATCGTCTTCGATTTCTGATCCTGATGCTCGATGCCAACTTCGATTTGCCTTAAAGGCTATAAGAGAGGAGAACAGTCGGAAGTTAAATAATTGGCTCTTTTCTGATAACTGCAAAAATCCTGGAAGAGCCGCCTGACTCTTTTTTCTGCTTCCTTTTTCTCTCTGTGAATCACTCTCTATCTCTCTCTCGCTCTTCTTGGAGTTTTCGCTTTTGGTTTTATTTTATCTTTTTCATGTTTCTGTCATGATTCAGAATCTTACAGCACTTTTTTTTTTGTTATAAATATGCCATTAATTTTTCTTCTTTCTTTTTTGAAAATTCGTTATATACATTTTTCTTTTTACGTTTTTGGAAATTCGTTATTTTTTGTTTCTTTTTTTGGAATTTCGTTATCAATTTTTCATATTCCTTTTTATTTGCAAATTCGTTATGAAATTTTTCTTCCTTCTTTTTTTAAAAATTCGTTATAAATTTTTCTTCTTTCTTTTTTGAACATTCGTTATAATTTTTTTGGGTTTCTTTTTTGGAAATTCGTTATTTTACCTCGTTTCTTTTGTAGGAAATTCGTTATTTAATCTCGTTTCTTTTTTAGGAAATTCGTTATCGATTTTTCTTATTCCTTTTTATTTGCGAATTCGTTATAAATTTTTCTTCCTTCTTTTTTTAAAAATTCATTATAAATTTTTCTCTTTCTTTTCTCTAATTTTTTCTAGTTTCCTTTTTGGCAATTCGTTACAAATTTTTCTGGTTTCTTTTTTGGAAATTCGTTATTTAATCTCGTTTCTTTTTTAGGAAATTCGTTATCAATTTTTCTTATTCCTTTTTATTTGCGAATTCGTTATGAATTTTTCTTCCTTCTTTTTTTAAAAATTCGTTATAAATTTTTCTTCTTTCTTTTTTGAACATTCGTTATAATTTTTTCTTGTTTCCTTTTTGGTAATTCGTAACAAATTTTTCTTCCTTTTTTTTTGAAAATTCGTTATATATTTTTCTTCTTTCTTTTTTGGACATTCGTTATAATTTTTTCTTGTTTCCTTTTTGGTAATTCGTTACAAATTTTTCTGGTTTCTTTTTTGGAAATTCGTTATTTTATCTCGTTTCTTTTTTAGGAAATTCGTTATCAATTTTTCTGGTTTCTTTTTTGCAAATTCTTTATTTTATCTCGTTTCTTTTTTATGAAATTCGTTATCAATTTTTCTTATTCCTTTTTATTTGCGAATTCGTAACAAATTTTTCTTCCTTCTTTTTTGAAAATTCGTTATATATTTTTCTTCTTTCTTTTTTGGACATTAGTTATAATTTTTTTTTGTTTCCTTTTTGGCAATTCGTTACAAATTTTTCTGGTTTCTTTTTTTGAAATTCGTTATTTTACCTCGTTTCTTTTGTAGGAAATTCGTTATCAATTTTTCTGGTTCCTTTTTTGGAACTTTGTTATAAATGTTTCTTGTTTCTTTTTTGGAAATTCATTGTAAATTTTTCTTTTTTTTTTATTTTGTAAATTCGTTTTAAATTTTTCAAAAAATATTTCGAAAAATATTTCAACTCTATTTACAGGAAACAAAAAATATTCATATTGTAGATAAAATATTCATTATCACAATTTCTCAAGAAGACAATTTTAATTACAATTTGGAATTATATAAATATATGAATAAATAACAAGATCACCTGACTATATGAAAACTGATTGAAAAAAAAAAAAAAAAATTCATAAACAAATATGCGCATATATGAGTGATTTTAGATAATGGATTTGAGAAGAATTTCGATGAATAAATTATAATTTGTGCGCGGTTAAGAAATTACAAGTAAACTGATCTAATATTGCATCTCTCTCTCTCTCTCTCGCTTCGTTTATATAGAAAGGGTATATTTACGTAGTATTAGTTGGGGCAAATGCACGTGCTCCTCTTTTACGAGTAATGAATAGCGTTACGACTGATTTTCATAAATAAACAAATTCAAGTTCGCGATGCAGTATTTACTCTATACATATAGAAGCTTCTTTCTGCTTATAACTACTTCTATATAAAGCGGCATATATACAGTAATTACTTCAAGCAATTTCTCTTATATGCCTTTCAGTATAAAATAGTTTATAATTAAAAAACGATAAATCTGCTTTTTTTTCAAACATTTGTCTCTTATTGCATACTTCCGCGATTTAAACCGTCTTTAATTTATTTATAATATACAATGATAATAATATTAATAATAATGATAATAATAACAATAATAATAATTATGATAATAATTAATAATAATAATTGAGGAGCCGGATCGTAGAACCGATTCTTCGCTCGAACTCACGCAGAAGTATTGTCCGCCCCTCCACTATACCATCAAATTTTAAAACTCATAAATAAAATATTTAAAAAATATTAGGTTATGCAGAAGAAAAAAATACATATTTTATCTATTTGAAACTTTTTTCTAAAATGTAATTTATTAGTACTAAAAAATGAAAACTGAAAAATTTTTTTTTCGAAAATAAATTACTTTTTAATAAATATATCGTCCTTTTTCGGTCAAATATTGACGAAATTTTGTGAAATTTTTTAAGCATACACAATATACACAACAGAAGCCTACAAGCTATAAAAAATAAGAAAAATCACATTATTTATTTATTAAAAAATTTTAAAAGACGTCATTTACAAATAGAGGAATTTCACTTTTCAACACAAAAAAGTATGCGATGAATTTTCAAATTATGAAAACTTCTCGCGAGAAAGTTTTTCCTTTACTAATCAGGAAGTTTTTCCCACAATTTCAAACTGATTCGAATATAAATAAAGAAAATACGAGGAAAATAGCGAAACCGTACTTTCGTTCGCAACGAGAATGTAAAAAGGCAGCCATGTTTGTCGTCGCAATGACACGCGCGCACACACACACACAGCAGCAACTAAGGCTCCCTCAAGTTGTTTACATATATGTGTGTGTGTGCGCGCGCGCGCGCGTGACGTTGCGACGACAAACATGGCTGCCTTTTTACATTCTCGTTGCGAACGAAAGTACGGTTTCGCTATTTTCCTCGTATTTTCTTTATTTATATTCGAATCAGTTTGAAATTGTGGGAAAAACTTCCTGATTAGTAAAGGAAAAACTTTCTCGCGAGAAGTTTTCATAATTTGAAAATTCATCGCATACTTTTTTGTGTTGAAAAGTGAAATTCCTCTATTTGTAAATGACGTCTTTAAAAATTTTTTAATAAATAAATAATGTGATTTTTCTTATTTTTTATAGCTTGTAGGCTTCTGTTGTGTATATTGTGTATGCTTACAAAATTTCACAAAATTTCGTCAATATTTGACCGAAAAAGGACGATATATTTATTAAAAAGTAATTTATTTTCGAAAAAAAAATTTTTCAGTTTTCATTTTTTAGTACTAATAAATTACATTTTAGAAAAAAGTTTCAAATAGATAAAATATGTATTTTTTTCTTCTGCATAACATAATATTTTTTAAATATTTTATTTATGAGTTTTAAAATTTGATGGTATAGTGGAGGGGCGGACAATACTTCTGCGTGAGTTCGAGCGAAGAATCGGTTCTACGATCCGGCTCCTCA